CTGAATGCAATATTTAGTATCTTCATATACTATTTATTGTTGCCTCTGTCTTAAAATCCCAAATTACTCTGTATTGTATTAAGTCTTGTGTAGACTTTGTATAGAATCTGTCAAGTTATAGTCATCATACTATAGTTAAGCAGCTTCTGTTATCATTGTGATTAAAGAAAAAACTATAAATTAACACTATTTATAAAAGTTAAGTGTCAAATGGACTAGCTACAATGCTATGAACTACAAAAAATATAAAGTGATACTTACTTTTATTATAACTATTGATGCTTCATAATAAAACAGAATTTTTTTCTTTATTAAAATAATTATATTACTTTATATATTTTGTTTAATATAAAAAGAATATACTAAATTATAAAAGCTTCATACTATCATATTAGCCTTGTGTTAGCATACACTAACTCATACAACAAATTACTATACTAATTTAGTTAAGATACTTGATTATACCAAAAAGGAAAAGTTATAAATTAATTTATTGATAATATATTTAGAAGAAATTAAAAAAAAAATACCTTCTTTTAAAATAATAAGCATGCATATTAAATAAAAAGTATACAGGTTAATTAGTATATGAATAATTAGAAATGTACAAAGTCTCATCTGGTCTGACTTAATCCAATGAAGTCAAGTTTTAATTTAGATTCAGTTCTACATCAGACTTGCAACTAAGTTCTAATAGTTACAAGCAATATTATATGCCATATGCACATATAGTAATTGTAAAAAAATATATACTAACTTTTCTTGCATGCATAGTTGATTGTTTCATTATACATAGCATAACATTAAAATTGAAATATGTATATAACTATTAGGACTTGATCCCAAGTCTGACTTGGAGTTGAGTCAAATCTTTTACATCTTTATGAATAATGCTGTGACCTACATGAAAATTTTTTCTATGATTTTAATGTTGGCCTTGTGCTGAATTACTAAACTAAAATAGTCAAGTTATAAAAGCCAAAGTTCAGAAATTAATATTAACAAAATAAAAGCTACATTAAAAGCTATGCAATTAACTATAAAAAATTTATAGTAAATTCCAAATAACATTTAAATTTATGCTAAAAAAAAATTAAAAAAACAATTAGCATGAATTTAGGTAAAAAAAAATATATAAAGCATCAAAAAATTTCGCTAATAAGGAAAAATTATATTTAAGCCTTTTTCTTTTACAAGCTTAAGCTGCAATTTCAATGAGATTCCTTGATTCTATTTTATAAAATCTATATGATAGCATAAATAAGATAAAATATGACAAAAAATTGTAAAATTATAAAAGAACAGAAAAACAAATTAATAAAATCATCTCTTTCTCAGGTTTAATATAACTTAAATAAGAGCCTTTACTTTACCTTAAAACACTATTTAATAAAGTCTTTTATTATGTATTTTTTGATAAAGTTTGTTGAATTGTTTTTTGCCATTAATTAAATACTTTTTTTTTTTTTTTTTATTGATCAAAAAATGGATTTTCATAATTCTTTTCAAGATAATTCTCAAAAGGATTCTTAAAAGAATTTTCAAAAAAAATTTAGTTTAAGTTATTTCAGAAAATGAAGTCATGATAATGGAAATAATCCTTCTAATAGCATCTTTAAACTTGCATCTAAAAAAAAAATTAATCAAAATGTAAAAGAAGTTTTAATAGAAACATTTTAAGTTAATTAATACAAATGATATGTGTCAAGTTGTTATAAAAGTAAAAAGAAAAGAGCAGAAGTGTAGAATGGAGTATACTCATGATGGGACAACTTCAAATATAATTGCTTATTTGCATTTAGTTCACAAAATTGTAGATGATAGTAAATTGAAAGCCAAAATTCAACGAGCATGCCAAACTAAATTGCTTGAAATAATCAAGATTAATGTTTCATATAAAAAATACCAAACAATTAAAAAATAGCAAAGCAGTTATAAAATGGATTATTCTCAATAGTTAGTTATTAAATGCACTATAAAAAAAAAGGATTCTGTCAAATGATGAAAATAATTGACTCAAAATTTTGTTCTTCTTCTAATTGCTTAATAAAAAATAAAATAGCATCCAGTTATTAAAAAAATATCAGTATTCTTTAAGATAAAATTGTATCTTTCTGTAAAACTGCTGCAATAATAGCTAATTTATAGATATTACAAAATAAGAAAGGTTATATAGAAATCACTTGTTACTGGATAGCCTCTAATTAAAAACTGTATAGCATAACAATTTGCTGCAAGAAAATGCTACATTCCTATATAAGTAATTTCATTTACCAATTTATTATTAAAAAATGTATTTAATTTAACCTTCAAAATAAAATTGTATATGCTGTTACTAATAATAAAGCTAATATAATAAAGGCAATTAAAAAACAGAATTCTGTTGACAAATTCTATTCATAGTATATACTTTGCAATTAACAATCAATTTTGTCTTATGAAATATCTACTCATATGTAAAAAAAATAAAAAAGCTTGTTAAATTTTTTGATTCTTCAAAATAAAATAAAAAACTAAAAAAAGCCCAAATTGTTATAACAGAAAGAGATTACTTACTTATTTTTGAATCAATTAATGCTAAAGTATATAGTAAAGATAAAGAACTCAATAAAGTTGATAATGGAAATTTAATAAAGTAACTGAATATAAATTTAGCTTTCCAAGCTCTTTAGCTAGTTAAAGATTGTTCCACCTATTGGAATTTGAAATATCAATTATAGAAAAGACTAATAAAATTAAAGGATACTATTATATAGTTAAAAGCTAATCTGAATATTTATAAAATTTAGATGAAAGAAAAGATAGTCAGAAACTTAGACATTGCTTACCTAGTAAAGATAAATAAAAGTTGGTTGAAGAGCTAATAAAGACTTTTGAACTATTTGATCAGGTAACTAAAGCATTTAGTACTGAAAAATACCCAACTTTATCTGTTATATATTCAGTTATTAAAGTTTTGAAATCTGAATTTAATTTAGGTTTATCTAGAATTGAACATGATATTAATGAATACAGTATTATTTAAGTTCATATATCAATATTATGTAATCAAAAATGAAAGTGCTAAATTGGTTCTAGTGTTATTATTATACAATAGTTGCACTTAATATATATATATATATACATATATATTTTTAGATTCAGAACATGAGATCAATGAATCACTGATTTCATCATAAGATTATTATCGCATGATCAGCAGTCACAATTTTGTCTCAGCTATAAAGATCACACCAAAGTTGGAATTCTGTGCTTATAATGATTATAATGTGTATATTGCATATATTGATTATAATCAATATAATCAATATATGCAATATAAGTACTATCATCATTATAAGTGTAATAATGGATATTGGCACTCTAACAATAAATAAAATTTTGCTTATAAATAACCTATAATTTCATTTTAGTAATAAGGCAAATTTGAACATAAGAAATTAATAAACAACTTACCTTGCATACATCAGATAAAGGTTTTTTTATAAGTAACTATAGAGAACCATCATTATAATAAAATACTTATCCATAATATTAATAAATCTCATTCTCATAAGTACAGTATATCTTGAAGTAGGATGGAATACTGCAATTCTAGAATAGTAGAATAATAGTCTCAATGTGGTGTAGACTATTCAAGATAAGCCAGACCTGAATTGAAATTGCTCATCAAATCTACATGCCTCTTTCGACAGAAACTGTCTAAATGTTACACAAAGTCAATACTCGATTAGTGACAGACTCACCAAGTTAGGGCATCTTAGTATGTACAAAGCAAGAAATTTAAAAACCTTAATCTCTTTATATAGAAATAATGTATAGCTTAGTAGCATATTGAAAATAATTTATTAAATTATTAATTTATATTGTTGAAATCTAAAATACATCAGTAATATACTAGTTGATTTTTATTCTATATAAAGTTATTAGATTTTTAGATTTTTTTTTTTTTAAATATTAAGGTGAGTACTTATAACCCAGGATTTTATTGATAGTACATTCAGCTAATGGTTGCATTACAACCACAAGGGGCAACTATAGAAAGAGTGTAC